GCAGGGTTGGAGGGAGCCACGACGAAGCAGCAGGGAGTCCAGGAAAGGCTGCTTAGGATGACTCTGGAACAAGGATCTGAAAGTGCACGAGCATTCTGGGCAGGGGAAACAGCAACTGCAAAGGCCCCGAGGCAGCCTGGTCTGGAGCAAAGCGACAGAGACGGCAGCAGGCAGTGTGGTCAGAAAGGTGAGGGATCAGATGCTCTTAGGCCTTGTAAGTTTCTCTGAGGCCTCTGGCTTTTTCCCTGAGGGATGCAAGGAGTCACTGCAGGGTATATAGGGCAGAAGGGGGAGAGGATCTGAGCTGTGTCTTTAACAGGATCCCTCTGGCTACAGGGCTGAGACCAGACTGCGGGGTCAAGGAGGGCATCAGGGCAAGCACTGAGGTGGGAACGGCGGCTGCAGGATTGAGGCTGTGATAGCTCTGGCCAGAGGAAGGCAAGGAGGCAGTGAGAAGCAGGCAGATTTGGAAACATTCTGAAGGAACAGGCAACAGGATTTGCTGATTTGCTTATCAGATGTGGAATGGGAGGCAAGGGGGGGAGTCAGGGCTGATGCAGGGTTTGGGCCTGAACTTCTGGGGCACAGCTGTCCTGGCCAAATGAGATGGGGAGGGCTGGGGGTGTGCAGGGGAGACAAGAGGGAGACCTCAAAGTTCATCGTGGTGGCGATGGCTTAGTTGCTAAGTCACGTCTGATTCTTCGTGATCCCATCGGCTGTAGCCGGCCAGGCTCCTCTGCCCCTGAGATGTCCCAGGCAAGCATACTGGAGTGGGTAGCCAATCCTTGCTCCAGGGGATCATCCTGACCCAGGGATCGAACCCAGGTCTCCTGCATTGCAGGCGGATTCTTTACTGTGAGCCTCCAGGGAAGCCCAAGTTCCGAGTGGAACATGGTAAACTAGAGACACCCAGGTGGAGATGTCGGTTCCAAAAAGTTGAGAATGTGAATGGAAAGAGAGCTTTTTCATCCGCCATCACGTTCCGAAGGTAAGGCTCCTCCAAGACTACCCCAAACAGAGCCTGTCCAGCTGGGAGAAGGAGACTAGCTTCCCTGCCCTGTCCTCTCAGAGTCCCCTTTTGTCCTCCCAAAGCCATTTACCTTGTCAAGCTGCCATGCTGGGCCTCAGGTGGGGGTGAGCAGAGGGGACGACCTCACCAGTTCCAGGGGCCCCGTAGCTCTAGTCCGCATGGGAAGAGGAGACTAGAATGAGGCGCGGACGTAAGGGAGAGGAGAGGAAGGTGGAGGAAAGCACAGTGATGCATCTAAAAACCCACAGGAAGCTTAAAGGATGGAGAAAAAAATTGGCTCTTTCTATGTTATAGTGAAGCCACAGGGTGTTAATTACGCCAGAAACGAGACTGATGCCAAGGTCAGACCTTACCCCAAGAAGAATTTCAAATGGCTTCTAAAATACTTCTCTTTGAGATTTCCTTGGTGATCCAATGGTTAAGACTCCAAGTTTCCAACGCCAGGAGTGTGGGTTCGATCCCTGGTCAGGGGAGCAAAGATCCTACATATTGTGCAGTGCGGCCAAAAAATTGAAAAAATAAAACACTCCTTTTCTCCCACCTTTTGGCAGCCAAACTGAATATTCAGGGGGTTACTGAGGTGGAAGAAGGCTCAGGGCATCTCCGAGGCAAACGTCAACACCAGGACCAAATGATTAGCAGGACTCCATGAACCATGACACAGAGCCACCGATCCGTTCACTCCCTGCAGCAGTAAATACAGCAGCAAAAATTAACTAGAGAATTCCAGCCAGTGCATTACTCAAATCTACCGAGGGCCACCTGTATACCAGGGCTTCCCTGGTGGCTCAGTGGTAAACAACACGACTGCAGCGCAGGAGATGCAGGTTCAATCTCTGGGTTCGGAAGATCCTCTGGAGAAGAAAATGGCAACCCACTCCAGTCTTCTTCCCTGGAGAATCCCATGGAAAGGGGAGCCTGGAGGGCTGTAGTCCATGGGGTCGCAAGAGTTGGACACGACTTAAAGAGATTAAACCACCAACCACCTACCAACTGTATACCAAGCAACAACATCCTAAGTACCTGCCGAGGATTCGCTTGGTACTGTGTTAACATCCCCATTATCCAGGTATGGAAACTGAGGCATGGAGGGGGGCAGTGATTTGCCCAGGGAGTAGAGCCAGGATTTGAATTCTAGGGATCCAGGCACTGCTCAGAGCTGCTATACACCACTGCTTACTGACTTGTCACTTACTTTTCGACATTTTCTGATTTTTCTACATTGGACATGCAATAAATTAATTAACAATTTTTTGGTTAAAAAATTAGCTTGCAAGGGGAGGCCCAGGCCCATTTGCCCAACCATCATTCAAACATCAGCCACAAAACAGCCCTTCCGACCTCTCCCACACCAAGCACCCTCAAAAAAAAAGCAAACCCAGGGCTGGTGAACTTGGCCCCTATTTTCTATCTAGATAACCAAGTTCCTCTTTTTCCATCCCAGAGCATTTGCCTGGGTGAAGGTGGTAAGTCAGCAGAACCCTCACCACAGGTTATTTCCACATTGTGTGGTTTTTCTGGCCCTTTTCTGGGGCTCAGAGGGAGGCATTGACTCAGGAACAAAGCTCTGATTAGAGTCTCAGGTGGGCTAGTCACATTGATTTCTAAACACATGACCTTGGTCAAGGGAGGAGCCAGGCATGACCGGGTGGATGGCCCAATCCCATGCCCCAGCTTAAGAAAAAGTGGGTCCAAAGGAAGGTCCAGCAACTCGAAACACATAAATTTATCTCCGGAAAGAAAGCAATAACCATTGTTTACCTCTGTGCAGGGCATGGGCTGAGTGGCTTGCACAGATGAACTAATTTTACTCTTCAAAACAACTGTAGGAGGTTGAGACTGTGGGGGCCCACACCCTTATTTTACAGATGAGGAAGCTGAAGCACAGATAGACATAGTGGCTTGCCCAAGATCACAGTTACCTAGTGGCTAGCAGGTCAGTCTCTCCTGGCCTTGAGTGGGCACCCTGGGAAACACAGAAGTCACCTCCTTTTGATTACATTCGGTTTCTCAGGCTACCTGAAGTGCTCATGCCCCCACTGCCTGCTCTCAAACCCTGGTTCCAGGGCACCTTGAGAAACTGGGACAACCAGTGAGTCCAGAAATCCAGAGGGAGGAAGGGCAGAGGAAAGTCTGCAAGGCCAAAGACAGGCGGGGAGACGGAGGGCCTGGCAGAAGGGAAAGCCAAGCACCTGGCAATTTCTGTAGCAAAAGTCCTTGCAGGAGAAAACACACACACACAGCTGATTTCCTCAGATGAGCTTCTTCAACTAAATAAACAGAGGACATCCCCAAACCCATTCGACATTGGAAAACCTGATGCCATCCATCAACCGCCAGTTGCCATCAACAAAATACAACCTGGTGCAGAAGTCATGGTCACCTATTTTATCCCCTCTGTAATTCAGAACAAAATAAACAAGGAAATTCTCCAGTATCACAGCAACACGAGACCAGATCCCCATCTGATTCTTGCAGAAATAATCTTGCTATTGTTACACTGGGTACTGGGAGCAAGGATTCCTCAGATTTTCCTGTCTCTGCTAAGTACAATCCTACTTTGCAAATAAGTTTGCTCCCCAATCAATCCTGGACCTTGAGTGTAAAGCATCTGTACTACTTCCAGCCCCTGAGTAAATCCTGTTGGCCTGAAAATGTGAGACACAGCCAGATGTGTGTGGTTGTTCTAACAAGCGATACCTACCGTCCCCATCCCCCAAATAAACCCTTCCCATGGGGCCCTCGAAGATGACTTATCAACACTCCAAATGTAGCCTTCAAGGAGAGGACCACAAAACAGAACAAGGTATTTGGAGATGCTAATCACTGGCTCCAAAGAACCAGGGGTGATTCCAAAGAACCGATTCCTAAACAAAAATAGGAAAACTATCCTGCCCACGTTTGCCTACTGTAATAACCAAGAGAGTAGGACACAGAAGTGCTTCCTGTAACAAAGAGGCAAATCGCATTAGAGAGAAACTAAAGCCCAGGACACTGGGGATTAAGCCAGAGTGGCCTCCGGAGACCCGGCCAGGCTCAACAGCAAAGATTCAGAAGGAACCTGGGGTTGGCCCCCACACAGAGGAGCCTCGAATCTCAGGTGTCGAACAGCACAAAAACCGACTGGTACCAGGATCCTTGGGTAGCCCCGGCTGACCCCAAACCTGACCCCAGGGTCAAGCAAGTCAGGGCAGGGGTGAGCAGCCCCACCTTCTTTCCTGGCTGTCCCTGAAACTCCCCTAATTCTTCCCCTGTCCCTTCAAACTCGGCCCCCCCACCTCACCCGGACCCACAGTAATTAAACAGAAGGAAAGTAAAAGATGTCAAAAATACGGAACCACAGGAAAATAATGTGTATGCCAAAAAACTGGGGAGGGGGCAAACCTCAAGTCAGCCACTAGAAGCCCCTTTCCACAGTCTGAGCCCCTCCCCAGCTCAGCCCTTTGGCAACCGGGTGCTTGTGAAAGCGGGGTTCCAAGCCACAAAGGAGATGGGGGAACTTAAGCAGGGAGACACCCCCGCCCCCGCCATCTCTGGCGTCTCCGTCCGTGGAAGGTTATTTTCAAGTGGAGGGAGAACCCCAAAGAAGAAAGGGCCCCTCTTTTCGGCCCCCTCTCCCAAGCTCTGACCCCTCACCTTTCCCAAAAAGCCCCAGAGCCGGGCATTTGCAACCCGTTCCCAACGCCCTGCTTCCCTGGAACCCAGTCACCCAAGTTTTCCGCCCCCCATCAGCTGCGCTCCCGAAGGGGGCCGGCTGAGGGCAGGGTGGGGAGCGGGCCCCGCCAGGCCGGCTGCGGGAAGGGGAGCGCGGCGTTCGGGGCGGCAGGGGACCCCGGGACCGCGGGCCCAACCCGCCCGAGCCCGGCGCTTCCCCCCGCCGGCCGGCCTCCCCGCCCGCCAGCCGCCCTCCCTGCCGCTCCCGCTCGCGTCCGCCGGCCCCACGCGACCCGAGCGGCCGCCGAGCACGTACCCAGAAGGGGTCGGAGCCATCGACGCTACAGAAGTCCCGGAGCGCCATGCGGCCGGCTCGGGCACGGCGGGCAGCGGCGGGCGGACGGGCCCGGCTGCTGGTGGCGGCGGCGGCGGTGGCGGCGGCAAGGGCGGGAGGCAGCGACGGAGGGAGCCGGGGCCGCAACGCCGCCTGGTTGGCCGGCGCGTCACGGGGATGCGGCGGCCCCGCCCCGCCCGGCCCCGCCCCGCTCACCTCGCCCGGCCCGCGTGGGCCACGCGGAGAGGCTGCACGCTAGACCTTGCGGCCGCCGGGACCGGACCCCCGCCGTCCCCAGGCGCCCGATCTCACCCCCCCAACACCCCCATCAGAGGCTCGGGAAAGACCAAGCGCGACCCTTGTGTCCAGACCCCAGATCAGTTTTCAAATCCTGTTGTAACAACATCGAGACGACAGCAACAGTTAATAGAAACCACCGGGGGCAATAATATGCACTGATCCCTCTATGAGGGCAGAGTGCCAGACACCGTAGCTGCGTCCTCATTGGACTCTGTTGTGACTCCCTTTTCATGAAGGAAGAAAACTGAAGGCAGAGAGGTTGAGTGACTTCTCCAGGGTCCTCCGGGCTTACCCAGCCTGCTGACTCAAGAGCTGGATGGGAAACTGCAGGAGGTGGATACTCAATCTAATCTGCCCTGTACAGATGGAGAAACTTAGGTTCAGAGAGGTGAAGCGACTAACCCAAGGTCACACAGCTGGCAAATAGCACAAGTGGTATTTGCCATGACCAGCCTGACTCTAGCACTCAAGGCCTGAAGACTCCAAGCTCTATCCCAAACAGCTCTGTTCAGAGAAGCTTGGCATTTTCTCCACTCTCTCTGCAGCAATCAGGAAATAACCAGGCTATTGATCCTCACCTTTGAAGTCAAGAAAAGAAGGCCTAGAGATACGGTAAAAATTATTAAGCATTCACTGTCATGGGGCTTCTGAAGGCTGAGTTAGCAATGAGCTTGAACTAACTTGTGAAATGCTCACTAGAACCCCAAGAGGTAAGTACTGTTATTATCTCCATCTTGCAGTTGAGGAGACTGAGGCCCAGTAAGGCAGGAGTACTTTGTCAGGGATGATGTAGACAGTAAGTGGCCTAGGTCCCCCTCAGGGTGAGTAGATTTTTGTAGGCTAATTACTTTCAGGTAATAATGCTCTTTGGGCTGTTGCTTTGACATTTATAGTGAACAAATACTTACTGAGCATTTACTATATGCCGGGTCTTGCTAGAAACAAAACAAAGTTTCTGCTCTTCCAATGCTTTTATAAAGCATTGGGGTTTCTTGTGAGGGTTTAAGTGTGTGGTTTTGGTTTTGTTTTTTGTTTTTTTTTTGATGGTAGGAACAGGTTAATCAAATGATCACATAAAGGGTATTTACAGCTGTGATAAAAGCTAAGAAGAAAGTGGAAGTAAGAGGGTTTTAAAGGGTCCTGGCCTACTGGCAGTGGAAGTCAGGGAAGGCTGCCTGGAGGAGGAATCTTTTGAGCTGAGAAGCAAGTGATGAGTTTGGTTTCATGGGGGTCTGAGCTGTGTTCTGGGATAAGAAAATAGCTTGTGGAAAACCGTGTAGCAGGACAGAGCAAGTCCCTGGAGGAACCTGCAGACAGGAATCCGGAGAGAGAAGCAGAAAGGACTCATCTTTGGCAGGAGGGATCAGGAGGGCCCAGAGTGTGCAGGGCCATGTTGGCCAGGGGAGAGATTTCAGCCTGCTCCCATGAGTAATGGGGAGTCATTGGTGGATTTTAAGCAGGGCCCAAGATGGTCAGATTTATTTCCATTTTTACTCAAAGTCTTTATTCATCCATTCTTCCAACAAGTATTTATTTTTTTTTTCCAACAAGTATTTATTAAGCAAACACATGAAAAGGTGATCTCCATCATTAGTCATCAGGAAATTGCAAGTAAAACCCCAGTGAGATACCGTAACACACCCACCAGAATGACTAAAAGGAATCACCAAATCTTGTCACAGCTGTTATAGCATGACTGAAATGGTGGAAAGTGTAATTGGTTAGTGGAAGTGTAAATTGGTTCAACCACTTTGGAAAACCATTTGGCAATTTTTCCTAAAGCTAAACATGCAAGTTCACAGTGACACAGCAATTCCATTTCTCAAAGGAGTGCTTACGTCCACCAAAAGACATCTACCAAAAATGTTCAGAACAGCTTTATTCAGATACCCCAAACTAGAAACAACTTGACTGTCCATCAGTAGTCAAAAGGATGAATTAATTGTGGCATATTCACACAATAGAGTATGAGAGAGAAAAAAAATAAAAAAGCATCAAACTACTAGTTCATGTAACAATATGGACAAATCTCACAACATGTAATAAGGAACAAAAAAGACAAGCACAAAAGAGTGTATTTCTCATGATCACATATAGATAAAGGTCAAGCACAGGCAAAAACTGATAGATGTCGATTGACGTCAGAATAATGGTTACTGTTAGGGAGTATGATTAGGAAAGGGTACCAGAGAGCCTGCTGGAGAGCTGAAAAGCCCTTAACTTGATCTGGTGGTCATTAGGTGGTTTATACCTACACACACACATTTTAAAATTCATTGAAATGGACACTTAAGTTTGCTATCCTTTGCTCTATAAAACTTATACCTTAGGGAACTCCCTGACTGTCCAATGGTTAAGACTCCATGCTTCCACTGCAGGGCACAGTTTCAATCCCTGGACTGGGAACTAAGATCCCACATGTTACATGCTGCAGCAAAAAAAAAAATTGTTAGACCTTATGTGAAAATTTAATGATGCTTCCCAGGTGCCACTAGTGGTAAAGAACCTGCCTGCCAGTGCAGAGACATGGATTCAGTCACTGCATCGGGAAGATCCCCTGGAGGAGGGCATGGCAACTCACTTCAGTATGCTTGCGTGGAGAATCCAATGGACAGAGGAGCCTGGCAGGCTATGGTCCATAGGGTCGCAAAAGAGTCAGACACGACTGAAAGGACCTAGCGTGCACCCACACACATATACGCACAAGACACATTTTTAAATTCATTAAGGAAGCTATGCTTTGCTCTATAAGTTATACCTTAGGAAACTCCTTGGTGTTTCAATGGTTAAGACTCCTTGCTTCCACTGCAGGAGGCACAGTTTCAACCCTTGATCAGGAAACTAAGATCCTGCATGCCATGCAGTGCGGCCAGAGCAAACAAATAAAGTTATATCTTATTCAAAAATTTAATATAGAAAATAAGTATAGAAATTAAAAATATTTATTGGGGCCTACCATGTAGGCCCTGGTAGCTCAGACGGTAAAGTGTCTGCCTACAATGCTGGAGACCCGGGTTTGATCCCTAGGTCGGGAAGATCCTCTGGAGAAGGAAATTGCAACCCACTCCAGTGTTCTTGCCTGGAAAATCCCATGGACTGAGGAGCCTGGTAGGTCCATGGGGTCACAAAGAGTTGGACACAACTGAGTGACTTAAACTAAACCATGTGGGTGCTGTAGACACATCAGTGAACAGAGCAAAGATCTCTGCCTTCGTGAGAAGCAAGCAGGACAAACCAAACAAATGAGGTTTCTATTTTCCGGGAGCAGAAACTGGGGGTTAGAGGGATGAGGTAACTTGCCCAGGATCCCACAGCTGGGATGTGGCAGAGAGGAGACCCAGCCCTGCTCTTAACTGCCAAGCCCTCCCCACACTTTTTCTTCAGCCACAAACTCAAGTCTTCTCCTCCCCTTCTTTCCAAGCCCCTTCCTTCCTCTCTGCAGCCCTAGAACAGTAATGAACACCCTCAGACCCAGAGGCTCTGGGCCCTGGGCCAAACCTGCCCAATGAAAGCTAACAAAATAAATTGATGGTGAAAATGCAGGATCTGAATTTCAAGCATCAGCTGCCCTGGTAGACCATGAGCTCAGTGAATCATATATGAAAAAGTCCAGAGAGATCCTTTTTATTTTTCTCTGGAATCGGAACCTCCTGTTCCTTTCCATGTATTTCACAGGACTTTTAATTATGTGTAATCATCTAATTATTTGCACCATGGAGGCCTCCCCAGCCATACTAGAAGCTTCCAGCTCCTGCTATCTCTCACCTGGACTGCTGTACCAGCCTTCTCCCTGGTCTCCCATCCCTGTCCCTCCCCGCTGTGATCAGAGCTCAACACAGCAACTGGGGTTGGGGGGAGGTCCTGTTAAACCAAGAAAGCAACACCCTTGCATAAAGTCCCCCTGGCCTCCTATTGTGCTTAGTACAAAAGTCTATGGGATGTGATCCAGCAATTCCATTTCTGGGTAGACACCCAAAAGAAGTGAAAGCAGGAACTTTATATTCGCACACCCATGGTCATAGCAGCATTGTTCACAATAGCCAAGAGGTAGAAGCACCCCGTGTCCATCAACAGATGAATAAAGAAAACGTCATCTACAGGCAATGGAATGTTGTTCAGCCTTACAAAGGAAAGAAATTTTGACACATGCTATAGGGATGAACTTTGAAGACTTCAGTTCAGTTCAGTTGCTTAGTCGTGTCCGACACTTTGCGACCCCATGGACTGCAGCACGCCAGACTTCCCTGTCCATCACCAACTCCCGGAGCTTGCTCAACTCATGTCTATTGAGTCAGTGACGCCATCCAACTATCTCATCCTCTGTCCTCCCCTTCTCCTGCCTTCAATCTTTCCTAGCCTCAGAGTCTTTTCCAGTGAGTCAGCTTTTTGCATCAGGTAGCCAAAGTATTGGAGCTGCAGCTTCAGCTGAAGACATTATGCAAAGTGAAACAGGACAGTCAGAAGAGGAGAAATATTGGATGAGTCCACTTACATGAAGCTCCCAGAGTAGTCAATCTCACAGAGAGAGAAAGTGAAATGGTGGTTGCCAGGCATGAGGGACATGATGGGGACTTGATGTTTAATGGGCACTGAGTTTCTATCTGACAGTTGGGCAACAATATGAGTATAATTAATGCCACAGAATTAACCATACACTTAAAATGGTCATAAAATTTTTCATTTTATGTTGTGTACATTTTACTATGATTTAAAAAAATGTGAGAAAAAGG